GCATATACACATGGACAGAAGTCACAAGGAAACAGTAAAAAAAAGAAAAAATAAAACAGGAAAAAAGGACATAAACAAAAAGCATGTGCTAATAAACACATTTTGTTCAGAACCAGGATATAGACATTTTGGTTGAATTTACAAACTTATCAAATCAAGTAATAAAACGATATGGAATATACTGATGGGAAGGAAATACACATAAGAAATATTCAAAAGAAAGCCAAAACTCTAATCAGAAAATAAACTAAGCCCAACAAACCCCTTAAAAGATTTTCACCATTTGAATTACTGCTATTTCGTGAATGAAATAGAATGTCCACTTTGATTTTTGGGGTCAAATGCTGATATTCCAATGCGGAACTTCTTCTTAATTCATTTAATTTTTCATATGGAAGCTCATATGGTGAAACAGGTCAAATCAGACTTTTGAGAATAGCATGTGTTCAGAAAACTGTATGTTTACTGGAAATGGTCAGAGGGAGCACTTAATTGTGTGAGGATATCTATGTAAATCATTAACTGTCCCTATGCATAATCCATTCTAGTCCGGCTGGTTAAAATTTCAACGAAAGTCAATCAGGATGAGGACATGATCCTCATACGACCCAATTCATTAGACAATAAAATCCATTCCAACATGGAAACTGTCAATTCAATCTATGTATGACAAATTCCCATGCGACCCAGCAGTTAACCAGTATTATGTACACGTCAAAGGATGCAATGCTTAAATGCTTTAGCCATTATCAGGAGAGTCGTGATTTCATCTAATATATTAGCATGTATGAAGTTGAAAATATTATTTCTTGAGACACACTGAAAACTAGAATATTACTCACAGGATCAATGCCAATTCTGGAACCCGGAGTTAAGACACCATTAAGCCACTCACTTGATGTAGGCACTCCCAAATTACCTGCTCGCATGAGAATCCAACTGGAGTTCAACTGCTCTTCTGCCTTTTAGCAATATGAAAAGCACTTCAATAACAACCACAGCAAATCCCAGCAAAAATTACCAAAAAGTAATCATGTTCCAAAAGAGAAATCAAGGGGATAATACAAACTGTATCCACAATTCAGACCTGAAGAAAGTACCGTCCATCTGTCCAAAGAGCAGCTTTATCTTTTGTTATAACAGCAGTGCCGGCGCTACCAGTAAATCCTGATATATATTCTCTCCTCGCATAACAATCAGCAATAAATTCACTCTGAAAAATCAAAGGGAATCCCAATGAGAAATTACCATAGAAATCAGGTGCTTTTATGTCACGCTTAAAGCAAAATTCTGGTAACCAATCTCTAGAAAATTGTAAAAGTCCATTTTACTTGAGAAGCTTACGAAAAAAGGGAATGATAAATAAGGGACATGTGCGCATACATTATAATTGAAATAGCAGAAAACTCTTCCAATCATTATTCCATCTCTTTATACAATTGAGACAACATGCAAGCTTGCATGAAGAAAATGTCCCAAGAGTTCATGTACAAAGGAATAATCAAGCAATTCCCCACCCACGCCCTTTCCCTAAAAGCAAAAGAAACAATACACCAGATGATATTAACAAATAAATGCAAAATAAGGCAATGAATCAATAATTTAAAACTGAAAATGATTGGTCTACATTAAAAATAACAATAATAATTGATGTTCAAATTCAAAAAGATGCAGGATAAATTTCTCGAGTAAACCTCCAAAAGAACTGCCTATACACAAACTAATTCAAAATACCAGAAATGCAAATTTTTAAGCAACAAACGGGGGCATGGAGGTAGAAGTAATCACAAAAAAGAATCTAACCAACCTGATGGGCGTCTTGTGAAGGGATTATGTAAGCATCGATATTGATATTGGGCCTTGAGAAGAGTTCGCGGAGGCGTCTGAGCTTGTCATCGAGCTCAGAGTTTTTGCGCTTATTCCGAAGCTCGGACGACGGTTTGGCTGTTATGGAGCCCGAATTGGGGATGGAGGAGCAGTTTCGAACGATGAGGGTGGTGGGTTGGCGAAAGCGTGATTTAGTGGAAAAACTGGGGATGGGATTAAAATTATGAACAAATGCGGAAGAAATGGAGAGGAAGCGAAAGCGAGTTTGAGAATAAAGTTGAAAATGAGACCGGCAAATCATGGCGGCACCGGCGGATAGAGATGCTTCACCACCTGCTGCTCAGCTGCTGCTTGCCTGCTTCCAGTACAGAGGAAACAAATGTGTCCGGATAAGGCCTTTGGCTTGGCGTAAAAGGTGAGAAATTTCATTTTCAAAGGTGGTCACGAAAGTTTATGCAGAAGTTCAAGTTAATCCTTAGAAGTATTTTTCTAACTTATTTTAATTTTTTTTTTTAAACTCATTTTGAGTCACACATTCTTCCAATAAAATAATTTTATACATAAATTCAAAATTTTTTTGTATTTTGTACTTTTAACCACATATTTTTAAAACATGTCACTATTACAAAATTCATTTCCCAAAAAAGAGCTTATACAGAACATTAAATTTACGAAAACGATAAATCAATCAATGAAAGAAATGTCCAATCATATACAGTGCATGTCATGTGCAAGATGGCCTCCTTGCATTTTCTATTTAAAAATTATCGATAAAATACCTGTAAGATTTCTTTCCACAATGTTACAATTTCATTATTATTGTTGCTTTCACCAGCAACAAGTGATTAAGCATCTGGGTCAAGACTAAACGAGAGATTTAATTTTTGTGCAATTATTGGAAATTAACAAATTGAAATAATCCTCTTCGACATTTATCGAGCACGGGATAAGATTGATGTTATTTTCATATCTGAATGACCATTTGTGTAACAATAAATAATTTTAATGGTTAAATAGAATACGGATATATTTTAAGGACCAACTTAAAATTAGTCATCATTTATGACACTTAACTCGTGGTAGCGTGCTTCTTATCAATTAGAACATAATTAGAGGGTTGTAATTGAACATGATTAGAGGTTCTGTAATCTGTATAATTTCCATTTACCATATCTCTAGAGTCTTGTACACTATATATATTGTTCTTCATTACTGGAATGAAATATACCATATTCTTCCTATCTTCTACTCTCCTATATGGTATCAGAGCGGGAATTTTGATATGCACCATCTCTTTTCATCACGGCTGCTATTCCTCCCTACATCCCTCAATCTCGGCTTCTTTCATGGCCGCAGACAATCAACCCATTACTATCCCCAGTGAACAGGAGCCCACTAAACCATTCACAATAATCAACATCTTAGCCTCCAATATTGTTGAACTCATGCCCACCAACTATATCTTGTGGAAACTGCAACTTGAAGCTGTTCTTATTGGGTATGACCTATACAAATTTATTGATGGTTCCCATCCATGGCCTCCTCCCACCATTGAGAAAAATAACATCACTCTCCCGAATCCAGATTTCTCCTCATGGGTTCGCCAAGATAAACTGATCTTTGGAGCATTGGTTGGCTCTCTCACTCCACCTCTCATTCCACTCATTCAACAAGCGAAGACTACACCTGATGCTTGGACCACACTTGCAAATACCTATGCCCGTCCCTCTCGGGGTCCCATTAAACAAATTAAAGATCAGATCAAAACTACTGTTAAGGGCTCTCAAACAATCATAGATTACGTGCAATTTATCAAAACATGTGCTGATGAATTGGCTGCTCTTGGTAAACCCATGGATCATGAGGGTTTAATTGAGAAAATTCTCGATGGCCTTGATGATGACTATAAACCTATCATTGACGTGATTGAACGTCGTGAAACTCCTATTACTTTTGATGAACTCCATGAGAAATTGATCAAGAAGAAACTCTCCTTGCGGCTACATCGGTCCTCCACATTATCACTTCCAACTTCTGCAAATGTTGCTCATCACAACAATTATGGTGTCACTCGGCCAACTCCAAGAGGTTGTCCTGACAGCACAACTTACTAGGTCTTGTACGTATGCCAGCATCTTCCTCACCTCGGCCGGATCACCGTCCCACTCGCCCTTACCTTGACAAATGCAAAGCCTGCAGAACACAAGGCCATACTGTTCAACAGTGGCCATCTTTTAGACTAGTTTCTACCTCTACTCCCTCTCATGTGTTCCATCAGCAAACACATTGGCCTCACTGTCCTCCGACACAACATTGGCAACCACGTGCACACGTTGCAACCAATCCTAGCTGGCTTCTTGATAGCGGCGCATCACACCATGTCACAACCGATTTGGGTAATCTCTCACTTCATACTCTGTATGATGGCTCTGACGACATCATGATTGGCGATGACACAGGTCTTCCAATCACCCAT